GATTCTGTGTCTCCCTCTCTCTCTGCCCCTTCCCTGCTCATGCCAAAAATAAATAAACATTAAAAAAAAATTTAAAGGACCAGACCTTTTGTTAGCCTTACACTCCCCATCTTCAATTTATGGGTCTCCAGAGCCCCCGGAACATACAAGGCATGAAAAGGCTGCATGTATCCATTTATTCAGCAGGGAGTGTAAGGCTAACAAAAGGTCTGGTCCTTGCTCTTGAAGGATTCAGAGTCGGGGAGGGGGTCAGATATGTAAATAGCTACAGAGGTGTGTCTGCCACGTGCTATAAAGCAGAGATGCACGGAAGCAAAGACTGAAGTTCAATGAAGTGGATCTACTTTGAGGTTCCCCGTAAACGAGCCAGTAGGCGAAATGAGAACCCGAGAGGGGGCGGAACAGCTCGGGAGCAAGTCTTCTCTCTTCCCTTTGTGTTCCTTGTCCCCACATTCTGCCTCCAGTTGCTGGCTGGGGCTGTCACTCTTATGATCTATGCTCCAGCCATTCTGCTGGCCACACGCACAAGTGGGCTCTCATCGCTAACTGACCAGTGACGGGCCCAGGATACAACGTGTTAAATCCTCTCGTCAGGACAATTTGGGGGGAAGGAGCATAATGCAGAGATCTACGGCTTTATTTGGAGATGTACACACGGTTGTTTTCTGGATCACGGTAGTAAATCTATATGTATACGTGTCTGTTGTAAGCACACTAATCCTTAGGGCTGGGCATTTTATTGGCAATATTTTAGATTTATGCTGAAAAGCATTAATAATTAAGTTAAATGCATTATTTCTTTTAGAGTCAAAATTACATCTCCTAGCAGCAGAATATTGGAGTCTAGGCTCTCCCTTGTTTTTATAACCCCTACGAATAAAACCAGAATGATCAAGAGAAAACAGTTGTAAGACTTGTTTGTTCTTTGAAAGGAAAAGCTAACATTAAATCAGGTGGAAAGAGGCTTTGGAAGGTTTTCTTCCTTGATCTATGGCCAGTGATTTTTAACATCACTGGGCTAATGACCAAGTCTACATCAAAAGCAGAAATGGGGGGTGCCTAGGTGGCTCGGTGGGCTGAACCTGGGACTCTTGACTTCGGCTCAGGTCATGATCTCACAGTTTGTGAGTTCAAGCCCCACATCGAGATCCACACTGAAAGCTCAGAGCCTGCTTGGGATTCTCTCTCTCCCTCTCTCTCTGCCTCTCCCTTGCTTGCTCTCTCTCTCTCTCTCCTTTTTGAAATAAATAAATAAACAAAAAAATTATCTAAAAAAAGCAGAAATGGTACTTGAGAAGCCTGCACCCTTGGTTCCATCAAAACATGAATCTGTTTTAAAGCGAAAAATCAAAACGTCACCATTTGGGGATTTTCAGAGGATGTTTACCATTCTCCATCATTCTCAACAAACTAGGTGGCATATGATAACACACAAAAAATTAGGCATGTTTTTGAGTGACTGATGTAGACAAGTGCAGCAAGACGCAATGCTCACTATTGATAAAAGGCCACCTCCACCAACTAGCAAAATTAGAAAGCAAAGGGGACAATACCAGACCACTGGCTGTGCACGCCAGGATTTATCACGTAAATCAGCGCTGTCTTGTGTATGGGAATAATCAAATCGTCTTACTTCAAAACAACCGGGGAGGGGCGCCCGGGTGTCTCAGTTGGTCAAGTGGCCGACTTAGGCTCAGGTCAGGATCTCACAGCTTGTGAGTTCGAGCTCTGCATGGGGCTCTCTGCTGTCGGCATGGAGCCTGCTTCGGATCCTCTGTCTCCTCTCTCTGCCCCTCCCTAGGTTGTTCTCTCTATCTCAAAGATGGGGCTACGGACTCCTCTCTTAGCCAGTTTTTTCACATAAGGAAAACCAACCAGACTCATTTAGAGTTGCTGATATCCCTAGAAAAATGGTTTCCTTTGGTATCCATCGTTTTTAATGTCCAAACCTCTGTCACCCTGCTTGCAAATTGGAATAATTGAATACCAATTAAACAGATGGAATACAAGCCTCTCCATTTTTATTTCTCTTTTATTCTTACTCAAGAGCTGATCCTCTAACAGAGTTTTATTTTTCCCTAACAGGCTTTCTTTCCTGGCTGAGTTTATTTATCCTCTCAGTGACAGAGTTTTAATGTAGTCTCTGGTTTCTTGTCGTTGTCTCTTGAGAACCCTTACAAGCTTCAGAAAGGAGGCCTCTCCATGCTCTAAACTTGTGTCACAGTGTCTACAGTCCCTGGAAAATTCTAAGCAGGATTTTTGAATATTTCTGCTTCTCCAAATGTGGCTATTGTCAAATTGAGGACTCATCACAAATCTATTGAGCAAAACCTTCGTCGGGTGTAAATAAAATGTTGGGTGCACATGCTCGTCTGTGGATTCAAAATGCTTCTCTTGCGGGGGGGAAACCCTAGAGACTCAGTGTTGATAGTGGCTAATACAGCTGATAATAGGTTTTTAAAACCAGATGGACATTTCCCAAGACTCACTGTTCTGGGGCCAGGGACAGTGTGTGTCATGTTCTAATCTACAGTATGTGTTTGCTAGGAACACTGCCTTCCCTGCTGGGTTCGTTAGTAGCAACTGTGAACTTTCCCGCCCGGTGAACCTTGGATCCCTACTGCCACTTCCGTATCTGTGCCTTCCCGCCATGTGGCAGAAACCTGCGTGTGCGAGGTTCCGCTTGCCTCCTGCTCATGGCTCTCTTCTATTGTCACTGACTTTGACTCGTGGTCAGACCCCTGATCTACCCTCACTGTTGGTGGCTTGGATGTCTACCTAAAGGGCCCATCTAATTCTCCGTCCTCACATCTCCTGACCTTCTCCTCTCCTCTTACGTTTTCCTTCCTGCCACCTTTTCCAACCACTCGCTCGGTCCCACCCTGGACCGTGTCCTCACCAGAAGTGATTCCGCCTCTAGATTCAGGCTTCCTCCCTCCACTCGTGTCCTACTCCCATCCCAAGTTCACGTGTTACACTGCAGTGTGGCAATCTGTTTAAGCACACCATTAAGATGTCCCTTCTCCTTCATACGCTTTGATGGCGCCTCAATGTTCTCGGCATGCAGACCAAACATTGTGCTGGGGCCCACACGGTCCCGTGCAAGGTGGCCCCTTCTTACTCTGCCCTGCAACCACCACCACTGCCCGCGCCCCGACCTCTGGTTCTCTCAGTTCTGGCAACAGCACTCAAAGACAGCGTTTCATGCGTTCTCTTCGCGAAGTTCCACATGGTGATAACCGATATTTGATTTTTCTACTTGGCGTGATACCAGTTCGGCACAAAGAAAGGTGCCACGCCTAAATTATCGCCAGATTTTATATCCATAAATATACGGCATAATCTGAAAATATCCTGTGGAGAGGGGACCTGCCTCCCAGACTTAGGCCACCAAAAAACCTACTCCCCCTGTGCTCTGATTAGGAACCACATTAACTGGAACGAAGTAGCTATTTTAAAATCCTTTTCCCCCAAATGATTTCTTTCTTGACACAAGAAAGAAACTTTCTGAAGTTCTGAAAGTTTAAAAAATGCTTTTGGGTTGCCAAGTAATTTAACTAAGAGAAATTAAGGACTGGGAAGCATTCTGTATGAAAATATGTTTTCCGACCCAGCATCAATCTTGAATTAGTTTCCATATGGAATTCAAAAGTCATATGGGCAGGAGGGACACAGCAGTGTCACACGATCTGCTGTGTTTCATGTCCAGGCAATTAAATAAAATGCAGGACGTAATTCATTCTGATTGAATCAATTAATCTAGCAGCATATCCAACACTTAATGAATCACTCTTTATTGGGAGAGCAATTCGATTCTAAAAAGCTGCCCCTATTTATTTTTAGATGACCTAACCCAAGAGGTCACTTAGAGTTTCCTGTTTTCCTTCTTTTACTCTTGGATTCAAATGATTATCATTTTCCACATGTGCAGCTGTTAGGAACCCCAATGTTAATATTCAAGTGGAAGAAAATCATGTGAACCATTACAACCATGTAAGACCTACATGCTACCCCCTCACGCTCTGGTCCCCAGGTTGTTCAGAAAACATGACATTTAATTAAGAGCTACTTTAAAAGAGAAAAAAAAAACCCTCTTTTGCCATGAAGCCTAATATTTCTCCCTTTAGTTGGATGGGCGATGTGTCTTTTTTTTTTTAATATTTTTTTAAGTTTATTCATTTATTTTGAGAGAGACAGAGACAGCGCAAGTGGGGGAAGGGCAGAGAGAGAGAGAGGGAGAGAGAGAATCCCAAGCAGGCTAGCTGCCAGCGGAGAGCCCGACGTGGGGCTCGAACCCACGAAACCGTGAGATCATGACCTGAGCTGAAACCAAGAGTCTGACGCTTCACCGACTGAGCCACCTAGGTGCCCTGATGTGTCTTTGGAGCACCAGGACTTGCCTTCCTTTTCCCAGCCAGCTCCCTGGGCAACCTTATAGAACTCCACCAAATTCTCACCGGGCCTATGTAATTCCTAAGTACGATTTGGTCTGCAAAATGTATAATGGCTCAGTACATATTGGTCAATTACTTCCCCTGGCCCTTCCTTTTCTGCTCATTCACATCCTTGCTTCCTGTTGTTCTGGAATATAAGGAAGCACACACACATCTCCCTCTGTTGAGGGAACTCAGTCGTCTCCCGCAGAAAATGCTCATTCTGCTCAGTCTAGCCTGAATGGGCACTTGTGAAGAATCACTTGAAAGTCTGCATTCTTTTCAACGTTTTTTTTTTTGTTTTTTTTTTTTTGTTTTTTAATTTATTTTTGGGACAGAGAGAGACAGAGCATGAACGGGGGAGGGGCAGAGAGAGAGAAGGAGACACAGAATCGGAAACAGGCTCCAGGCTCTGAGCCATCGGCCCAGAGCCCGACGCGGGGCTCGAACTCACGGACCGCGAGATCGTGACCTGGCTGAAGCCGGACGCTTAACCGACTGCGCCACCCAGGCGCCCCTGAAAGTCTGCATTCTGAGTATTCAAATCCTAGTATTCAGATCATCAACCTAGAATAAACCAACTTTAAAGGTACACATTCCTAATGCAAGTCTGTGTGGTCCCATTAATTCACTATATAAACACTGAGAATTACTCTAATCTAGTGAGGCAAAGGTCGTCAGTGGCAAGAACAGAAGGAGCAAAACCTCTAGTTTAAAAAAGCTATCCTGGTTACTAATAGCCATTGAAAAATAAGGGTAAGAACATATGAACCGATTAAAAAGAACACAACTTATCAGACTGCGATAGGTAGCTGGGCAAGAATTAAGGCCCTTTGCCCTGATTATACCAGCAGCAGATTCTGCTGTGACACGATGTGCCCTGGTGAGTACGCTAGTCAATATGGACCGGAATTCGCATGTCAGAAGCCGCACATTCATAGTTTACAGAAGCCCTCCTGTCCAGTTGCCCTTACAGACCGGTGGAATTATACTTTCTGGGGTGGGGGTCTGGGCACTGGGCATTTTAAAGGGTGCACACAGTTTTATTCTACTGTGCAGCCAGAGGTAGGGAATCACTCATATTTTCATCTCCTTTTCTCCAGCGTGAGGTAAACATTTGAAATGTCTGGAGACATCCTGGTGGGGGGCGGTGCTACTGGCATCTAGTGGTAGGGGCCAGAGATGCCGCTGAGCGTCTCACGCAATGGACAGGACAGCCTCCATAACAAAAAATGATCCAGCCTAAAACGTCAGTAGACCCAGGTTGAGAAATCCCGCTCTAAGGGAAGTAAAACATTGATTCTCCATCCTTTAGGACTTTTCAAATCTCCTTTGAGTCCAAAGAACCAAATGTCGTGACACTTTAGGCACAGTTCAAGACATGGGTGTAGAGGCTGGGATCTTTTCAAGCAGAAATTCAATCATTATAGAAAAGAACTCCGAGGTGAGACATATGGGTCTCCTCACTCAACACTCATTCATTGTGTCACATAAAATGGAAATACATTCATACGACGGCACTGTTCCGCGGTCATTTCATATGGGCCCATACAAACAGGCCACAGAAAGTTGTACTGTGCTAATGGGGCCCAGGTGCCCATTAGGCAGGCTCAGTGAATATTAGTTAAAAATGACCACAAATACCTCTCAAAGAGTGGCTAATGTGTCAGCTCCCTAAATGGACACAGAAGGGACACAGAACAGTATGAAGACAGTCAACAATCCCCAAAACATATAGGGCAAAACATAAGCCTGCTGTGATCTAACACAGAAATGCGGAGAATGGCCCATCTCCAGTAGCTCATGAGGATGAGACTGTTTCTTTCCAGTAGTCATGGTAGGCAAATCCAAACTTTTTCTGATTCAACTAGCCCTGCCTAACTATCTGGCCTTGCCAGACAGCTGGTTAGCATTAGAGATGCTGTCCATGGCTACTCAACCCAGGTTCTTCTTATGCGTTGCTGATTGGCCAGCATCATAATTGGAACCATAAACTTGGCCGAGGTCACACTTTGCTCAAACCAGTTGAATTCATCAACTCAGTACAGGGCCACTCAAACACAAAAGAGTAGACCAAAACAGGCTTTAATGACATTCTGTTGTAGAAAGCCAGTTTACATAATAGAGTTGAACTGCATAAATCTATGCAATTCAAAAACCCCACCAAATTCAACCATTATGCTCCACGGAGGATGCATCCGCTGTGGTTCCTTCTGTCCTTTACCTCGGTCTTTGTTTTTCTCCTTTCCTAGTGAATCCAGTTTCTTTCTCAAAGATTTCTTTCTCTTCTGCCCATCTGCAAATATTAAAAGAATGACAAATTGTAAACACAAGCTATACGTGTGACATCTTACACTATCAGTGACTACATTTGAGCAAAAGCATGACTTCTTGCTTACTTCATTTATAATTTGGCATCTTAAACAGAATAATGGCTCTGAAAATACATGAAAATCCCTGACGCGGGCAGTACGCACAGCCAGAATCTTGATGTACGCTCCTAAATTTTGTTTCAATCATGGAAAGTACAGGAAACTTACCTCCTTCAGAATTAACTTAGTGGTGACACTTAGATATGTTTGCTATTACTATTACATGAGTCTCTTCCTATTCTTCACGTTTACGCAAACCAATGTCATCTGGAATCAAATGTCCAGGAGAGGAAAGTCAACAGTACATATTATTCTGACATTTATAAGCTGGTAGAGTGTAACTGGATAAGGAAATGAATCTAGAGGTCCAGAGAACTCAGACAAGCTATTGCTGCACCATCTACTAACTGTGTGACTGTGGACAAGTCTCACTGTCCTCCTCTGTAAAATGGGCATTTCATGGGGTTGCCGTGTGAACTAAATGAAACGCTGCATCTAAAGGGCTTCAGGGGGACCCCGACACATGTGCATAAATTCAGCTCTACTTTCTTTTTGGTGCTTGCATCGTATTCCATAGCGTAGCTGTGCCATAATTTAATTAACCATTCCCCCACCCAGGGACATTTGGGTCATTTCTAATTTTTCACTATAATCAGTAAGGCATAATATCCCTTTAGCGTCTTGTCCTCACAACAAATGTACTTGCACATCTGGCTCGCTCACCAAATAATAAAGATACCACTCATATCAGTAGGCAGCTGCAGTCGGATTCCTGGGATGTCATGGCAAGAATGCATTTCAGGATTACGCAACCATCAATTTAACACGTGGGAGGTGCAAATTAGAAATCCGCACTGCCATCAAATAAGGGAAGTGTAGCCCGTGCCGTGAAGAAACTTATGTTTAAAAGGGGGATTACGAATTGTTTTCTTACAGGACACACTAAAAAGCGTAGTGCAGAGAGAGACTCAGACACTCTCCAATACAATTTAAAAGCAAGACTCTGATATCAGGAAAAGACAGCATTCCTGGGATCCTCTCGGGGCTACAGATGTTCCCAACTCCTTCTCTCTGAATTTTTGGAGGCAAAAGACATCACACAGTAGTCGACAGACACATCCGATCCGTCCTCTTTCAAAAAGCAAAGAAATATTTCAAAAATGAGTCTCCTCCCACAAGATAGAAATAGTTCCTAAGAGTCTTTACCTTTGCGGTCGTGAGATTTGTATAGGGGAAATTTAAGTAAGTCAGTTGTAATGTGGTAGAGAGCCATCAGTCTCTTTCATTACAGGTATGTTCTTATCTCCAGTGTCTAAAAGATGATTAACGATATGGCCTCCCATAACTTATTATACATGTACCACAATAAACATACTAACAACCCAAGATTCAAATCCATTCTCCAAACAGGCTTTTACTTTGTAACACTTTATTCACTAGTTCACATCACCACATGTATTTGACTGTAACAAGAGTATATGTCCTTAAAAAATTCTATCATTCCTTCATATTTTATTAGTTGACCCAGAAGAATAACTAAACCAAATAGTAAAGCTTAAGAGACTTGGTTTTTATAACCAGCGGGCAGATGCTAAAATTCAAGCGAGTTGTCAAAGAACCACAATACATATAGGATAGGGGACATTTTCTTTTAAGATAGAAGGAATTCCTTAAACTTCTTTTTAATTGGAAGATGTAAAATATGTAAAGATGTGTATAAATATAAATACACAGTTTAAATAATATTGAGGAGGCCAACTCCCACACGACCAACAGTCAAGTTCAGAGGTAGACTATTCCCTGTACCCAAGTCTCCTGTGTGCCTACCTCCCCCTCACCCAGGGTAATCATTGCTCTGATCAATCATCTAATAATCTATATCTAATAATAATAATAATAATAATAATAATAATAATCTAATAATCATCTGCTTTTCTTTACAGTTTTACTATCTATGTATCCATTTATAAAGAATATAGTTCCTTTTTCCTGCTTTCGACTTCACACAGATGGAATCACGCTCTAAGTATTCTTTCTTGCCTCATTTATTTCATTCATCGACATTTCTGAAATTCATCCTGTTGAGGCAGGTGGCTGTAGGTCACTCATTTTGATTCTGTACACTGTCTTCTGGTATGAATATACCATGGTTAATTTCCCCCATTGAACTATTGATGGAGATTTGAGTTGTTTCTAGCTTGGGACTGTCGGGAACAGTGTTTTTGAAAAATTTTGTGCATGTCTTCCTATGTACATGTCCAAGAATCACTCTGTGGTCCTTCGAGTGTGGTTCTAGGACCACTGGCATCAGTACCGCCCCGGGAAATTGGAACTTGTTAGAGCTGCAAAGTTTATGGTCCCATCCCCAAAACTAGTGACTCAGGAACTCTGGGGTGGGACCCAGCAGTGTGTGCTTTAACATACACTCCAGGGGGGTTATTCTGGTTCTCACTGAAATCTAAGCACCACTCTTCTAGGGTAGATATGTACAAGCTGCATTGCCGGGTCAGCACGTATGCAATCTTAGGCATTACTCCCGAACATCGAACGCTTTCCGTGTCGTTCTGCTAATTGCTATTCGCACCAGCATGAGAGTTTACAGAGTCCCACAAGGATAACATGTACTTCAAACTCCAAAATTCCAAACAATATCTTGAAGCCTCCTGATAGGAAAAAAAAAATATGTGATCTTTGTGAATAGTGACCTATGATTAAAAAAATGCTTAGCTGGGGGTACCTGTGTAGCCTTGGCTCTAGTGACATTTGGGGCCAGAGAGCTCTTGGCTGTGAGGAACTGCCCTGTGCACAGTAGGATATCTAGCAGCATCCCTGGCCTCGGTTTACTAGATGCCAGAACACCCACCCATTCCCTGTTGTGACGACCAATAATGTCTCTGGACATCGCCAAATGTCCCACAGGGGCAGAATCACTCCGGTTAAGAAGCACTGGTCTGTGTGTAACTCTACCTAGAGAGCAGCTGTGTGCTTGGACCATGTGACACATTCACATTTTCCCACTTGTCACAATGCCCAGGTTACACCCGGTGTCAGCTTCTGTTTTAGACAGAAGAATATAAAAATGTTTATAAATCGTTGAGCTTAGCTTTTACATATCAGGCTGAATAACAATTTCTTTCAGTTTCTAAAGAATGTGAGTCTGCCTATAGCTATGTTTCTACCAGATTCCTGACTACATGTAGGGGAATAAAGCAGGTTCTGTGAATAAGCAGCCTTCTATGTCTTCGTATGAAGTGTCTTGTCCTCATTTAGATCAGATGTAGAAGGATGTTCGACGGTGAACAGCTGTATGAATAGATGGTGGATGGATGAAGAGACCTCCTGGCTAGTCCACCCCTGGCCAGAGCAAGGATTCAGAAAGAAATTGTGCAAAGACAGGTTTCTCAGCAAATGGAGCTGTTCAGCAATGGAATGAGCTCCCTCAAAAAAACCCAAAAGGCACCTTTCACTGTGGCCCTCCATCCTGTTTGCTCCCTCCGTCTTGCATCCCTCACTCTGGGGGAAGCCACATGACGAGTAACCCTATGCAGAGGGCCACGTGGTAGGGAACTGGTGTCTCCAGCCAGCAGCCACGTGAGTGGGCCCAGACCCTGATCCTCCTGCCCCAGTCAAGCCTTCAGATGGTTGCACTCCCAGGGGAGCTTGGGGGCAAACCTCATGAACCAGAACCTGAACCAGAACAACGACACTGGGATATTTCCGGAAACCCTTTGAGATAGGAAATATTGGTTAGTTTTTAAAAAAAGGGAGAAAAGAAAAAAAAAAAAGATGCCCAGCTAAATGCATGCAGTATCCTAGATGGGATCTTGGGTCAGAAAAAGGATATTAGTGGGGAAACTGGTGAAATCTGAACAAAGTCTGTAGTTTGGCTGATAGCAATGGACCAATGTTGGTTTCCTCGTTGTGATAAGCATGCCAAGGTTACATAAGATGTTATCATTAGGGGAGATTGGCTGAGGGGCATAAGGGAACTCTGTGTTATCTTTATAACTTTTCTATAAATCTAAAATTATTCTAAAACAAAGTTGTTGCTTTTAAAATTTTTTAATGTTCATTTTTTTAAAAAATTTTAAAAATATTTACTTATTTTTGAGAAAGAGAGAGAGAAGAGAGAGGGACAGAGACAGAGATAGGGTATGCGCAGGGGAGGGGCAGAGAGAGAGAGAGAGAGAGGGAGACACAGAATCCCAAGCAGGCTCCAGGCTCTGAGCTGTCGGCACAGAGCCCGACACAGGGCTCGAACCCATGAACCACGAGATCATGACCTGAGCCAAAGCCAGACACCTTGTCAAGCATGTTGTTTTTTAAAAAGCCCTTTCTCCCGCGTCCTGGACGTATTCAGGCAAAAGGTTGAAACCTCATTTGTCAAGCATGGGAGAAGGTGGAGGCTTACACGGCTCACCGAAGCGCTTTGAAACATACAGACTTGGGAGCGCAACTCTATGGCAACAGGTGACTCAAGAGCCAGAGATAATCTTCCTATTCACACGTCCCTGATCTGAAGGAAAACGTGTGTGTTAGGTCACTATAAAGCATCAGTTATATCTGCCTTTCTGGCGTACCATGTTTTCTGGAAAGGGAGTGGACAGATGAGAGACTTGACCAGATTTATTTTTATGGCCCCAGTGACGCTTTCATGGGTGGCTGATTAGATTGTCTTATGATACTGCCTATTTCTTAGGTTCCCTAAATCCCTCTTCGGCGTAAGTTATCCAGACTCGGTGCTTGACGTTTGCATCCAAGAACACTGATCAGTGTATCAATCTGTTTGCTTTTTAAGTTCCCATGCCTGTTCTGATAAACCAAAATACGGTTTTTAAATTATATGTATGAATGTGGAGAAGGCGAGCTATACAATCTGTGCATGTCTTATAAAAATGTTTGCTAAAACTATATCCTTCACTAA